CCGTGGCGTCGCTTCTTCCGTACTCAACCTGACGCGGCTGGCAACACTACCGTGAAACGCGAGCACCCAGGTTACAACGTTCGCCGTCTTGCGTCCAAGTTCGTGGTGCGCGGGCGGTCACAACCTTAGGAGTAGCGGTAGCTATCCCTCCTGACGTAGGCCTTTTTTGCTATTCTTGAATCCAATCTTTCCGTTCTTTCTCGTTTCTTGTTATAGAGCGACCCTCCGTCGCCCTATCTTCGGCTAACGAGCCGGTCCACCAGACTTCCCACAACTCATCTTCCCAGGGGCTGACCAACTCAGCAACTAGTTCCTCCACTTCCTCCCGTCGACGGCCACCCCGTCGACTTCAGTACCCACCAGCATTCAGCTCTCGGTAGACGCGTCCTCGTGGGACTGCATCACTTCGAATCGGCTTCGACCTGTGCGTTTTCGCAGGAAGTCATACAAGAGTCCTCCGCAGTTCAAGTCCAGCTCATCCACCCAGCTCGTCTCTCGGTATCCTCGCCACTTCACACGGAAGCGCCGCGTTCGTCCATAGCGCGTTGTGCGACCTTCGCGTACATCTAGGATTTGCTCGACCTCGTATACATCGTCGTCCGCATCGTGTGTCTCCCAGCTGTCCTCCGGGAGGAGCTCTTCATCGAAATCGAACCGCTCCTCCGCTGGCACCGTCAGTCGCAACTCAGGTCGCGACGGGAATTCATGGACAGGCTTCAGCTTCAAGACGTGCACGGGAACAACTGGTATGGGGTTCCGTTGGTCTCCAGACGTACGGCGTACGCGCTCACCAATTCGGCGACGCGGAACGGGCCGTGCCACAAGTGCGCAAGTTTGCGCGCGTATCCGGGCTTGACCCGATCGAGATACAGCCAGACTTGGGATCCGCGTTGTATTGCGTGTTCCGTCGCGCGCGCGTTCTTCCGTGTGGCCCGCGTGTCCACTGCTTCGCGGAACAACTCGAGTGCTTGTGCGCGCGCGGTTTTGTAGTGACGATGTATACGCATTCTCCATCGCCTAGCTTCTACGTCGCGATGTGAGGTGTTACCAATCGCTAGCGTCGCTTCCAGGGTGGACCGTGGGTCCCACCCATGCACCAAGAAAAACGGTGTTTCGTCCCGTGTTCGATCGTGGGCGGTATTCAGGGCGTAGGTGAGTCGTTCTGCGTACTCGTCCCAGTCGCGCTGATCGTTGTCCGCGATGTACATCTTGATGGCCCTCGTGATCGTCTGCACCATGCGCTCCGCCGCCCCGTTTGCTTGTGGGCGATACGCGAGAGTCGCTCGCTGCCGTTGACCCATGAGTTTGGAAATCAGACATGAAGCCCGGCACGCGGTCGTGGTGAATGGCTTCACCAGCCCCGAACCGTCTGAAGACCGCCTCCTCGTACGACTCAGCAACTGTCTGCGCAGTCCGCGACGCACTTGCCTTTGCGATGACGAAACCCGT